AAATTTTATTATCCACTCTTGCAGAGTGTATATCTATGCTTTCATATATTGTGTAAAAAAACAAGTATAGAACCCATATGTTAAATTACATTTATAATTTTACAATAACATTACATGTATAGTTCCGCAATTAATTAAAAAGACTGTATTGCTTTTTTTGTACATTAAATATCATATTTCTATTTCAAGAAATCGCATCAGTATCCGCCCTTTAAATTGAACCTTGAAAATGTAAAACAATTTCTGTGCATCCTTTATCATAAAACAAATATTTAAAAAATGTAATAAACGGTTGATAAAAATTTTAATCTAATCAATTTCAAAATAAAAGTTTGAAAAATATTTATGTATTCGTTTTCATTTAAAGAACGGACGAAGCCTTATGGGGATATATCACTTGACAGAATAATAATGTACAACCATACTTATGAACAAATAATGAAATGTTTCACAATTCATTGTATCAGACAAAGAACGACTTTATGTTACACAGTAAAAATTATGATAAGAATAATGAGATACAGTCAAGTAAGTGTGAGACCAAATCTCTGTGCTATCTCTGGGGAGTGGGAAGTTGCAACTGCGAGCAAAAGTGGTATATCTGCTGCATCAAAGTCTAGAGTGTTTGTCAGATTTTCTATACTGGCATCACATACTTCTGTTGCCATCAACATTTCAGCTAATGCCTCACTCTTCAGCCACATTTCTCTTAGTTTTGCTTCTAGTATACCTATACACTATAATCACCAAAAATTAATAGTTAATAGCTCTTTTGTTTTAAGTTTAAAAAAAGTTTTTTCATATGTTTGATAGCTTAAATTAAACACCTTACTTGTGAAACTGAATGATATTTCCGCCATAAATAAGCAAAGCTTTCTAGCATATTGGCGACGAGTCTTGACATTCCAACCGGTAAAGGCGCAGTATGTAAAGGCATATTATTGGATATGATTCCAACATGCCAAGTATCTAAATCCGCTAAAATACAAAGTGATTCAGCAATTGGTTGATCAATAGTTGGATAACGTACACTGGCGAGACATTCTTCACGTATGCAGTACCACCATTCTTTGTCTATTTCAGAGTCATTCTTATCATCTCCCTGCTTGACAACTTTCTTTTTTCTTCTCTTTTTCTTTTTTGGCAAACCTTGCAAAACTAAACCCCATGTATAAGATGTTTCAGAATTATTTAACCCATGTGATTCTTCGCTCTTTATTTTGTTTTGCAAAAGTGTCCTTGTAAATCCTATGTCCTGGTGTGAATCAGTCTTCATTTTTTTCGATCTGAAAATCGGAAATTTTACATCTTCATCTAGTATTACTTTCTGAGAATGTTTATAACAGTCTACAAAACTAACCGTGGCATAGGTAATTCGACAACACTGTTAGCTTCCATCAAAGCTTCTAAACTATTTGATCTAGATAATCCAACGTTTCCATCACCCACTGTACTACCACAAGTACGTAAAACTTCTGTTGCGTTAGTCGGTGTTTCCAAGACTTGCTTGCAGCTATCGTAATTTTGAGAAGGTACGTAACCTTGGCCGTTACATCTTTGACAAAATCCCAAAGACCTCGAAGGTGCTCCTGGTGGTGATTGAATACTTTTCGACGATTCAGGAAAATTTCTTTGAATAATTTTTCTCAGTACATCTTCCGGTAATTGTGCTGACGTACTTGGTACTCTTGTAAACATATAGGAACACTGACAATTGTATCCAAGCCGCGGTCGTGATAATGTTTTCTTTACCGACTTTTCTTCATCGCCAAGCGTAAAGAAAACATGTGAATTCTTCATCTCGTTAACTGTACCTTGATGAGTTTCAAAATCTGGTCTAGTAGAATATAATTTTAATGTATGAACACTTGTATCGTCGAATTCTTGAAAAGTATCTATCTTAGAATTCGTAAATACTTCTTCCAGGTCATCATCCTCTACCTTCTTTTCAAAATTGCGTAATGAAAATTCAGAGCAATGTTGCATGTCAGTCTTGGTCATGTCAATATCTTGCGACGCAAACTCGCTTACTACTATTTTAACTTTGCTCGATGTACAGGTCTTCTTGTCGATAGTTCCTTTCTCATTGTCGTCATCGTCATGAGAAAATTCTTTCAAGATGAATTTCATGTCTCTTTCAGATTCCAATGGTTTGAACATGAATGAATCAAGATTTGATTCCATTGTGGTGCTATGTTTAAGAGAGCTAACAGATCCTTCTACTCTTAACCTTTCAACATTGTGCTGCGGATAAGAATGTTGCATGATAGCGTTATCACCTTCTGCATCATATGGATGCTCTTGTACAAGAACTTTCTTTCGAGTACATGTACGTAATACACGTCGAGATGTCGATGTTTCTCGATCGTTACACGTTACTTTCGTACTGAATAAATGCGGACATTTTATTCTCGCTTGCTCTAAAATATTTGCAGCCACTTGAATGTCTTCTTCAGTAACACAACAATACTCTTGTCGTTTCTGTACTATTCCACTACGAATGAAGTATGACAAAAAAGATAAAACAGAATTAATCAGATCGACTTTTTGAGGATCACCGGCAATAACCGTATGTGCCATCCTGATAGGATTACTTAATGCACCATACAAGTCGCCTAATTGAGCCCACAATGGATTGCAGGGATACCACGTACCTAATTTTTCCATCTAAAAATAGATGTATAATTGATATATTCACATTTCTCCCGTTCTTTTTTTTTTAAATGAAAAACAGATTACTTTACAATGGCAACTTAACTGTAAATATTGGAATAAATATTTAATTGCCAGAAAAATATATAATTACCAATTGTCGATCTTGAATAGGCAGTGTAGTGTATATCCAACCAAGATGATATGTTAAAACAGCAGTTACAACAGTACTCAGAAAACTAAAATATATAAATGTTAATTTCAATCCGAAAAAGTAGTCTTTTAAATTTAAATACTTACAAATTAGTCGATTTTGTATCAAGGCTATCTAATAACTGACACATTTGTTGCAAATTATAATGCAACGTACTTATTTTATGCTCTATTCTCGTTGAATTAAGTAGCACATCATGCCATAGTAAAGGTGTGCGCGAGTTTAGACCCGCGTTAACATTTGTAAGTAAACGCAGTAACGAAACAACGAGTTTCGAAGAAGTTCTGTACAGCCGTTCCGGAAGCTGCATTTCCTTAGCCTGACCATTAAGACTGCTTGACTCGATACAGAAATATCGTAAACGATCCAACATTCCTTCTAACAGAGCCATGTGCTCTAAGAGGCGAGCCTCTATTCTGCTGGAATACAAAATGCGTAACATATGACGTAAATTACATCTCTTAAATTAATTCTGACTTAATGAATTATTACGTAAAATGTGACGATAAACTCTATCAAGATGAGTGAATTAAAACACTCGTTAATAATCTTTAATTAAGTTCCAACCTCTCGTGGCCTTCGGCTAATCGCACTAACATTGTTAATCCGAGCCTCGTTTTATGACGTTTAGCATGACTATCTTTATTATCGCCCTCGTTCCAGTATTGCATTCCGAAAGTGTCATCGGAATCTGATCGTGCTAAAGAAGTAGAGACCGCTCGTAGCCATCTTCGACGCAAACTTGAAAGGCTACCGATACCAGATGATCCATTACTCTCCAATGATTGTGAACCTTAATTAAGATCCCATTAAATCTTAATCAACGAAGATCTTTCGGCAACAAGTCACTTCTAGTCCGGTTCGCATTAATAAATTGAACTTACTCCCTGTTGGGGGTGGTATGTCAATATCCCACCCACTACTGGTGCTGGAGCAAGTGGAATTTTTCCTAGGACCAGCATTCAATTCAGACCCCGATAAATTTCCGGAACTTGGTCGAGATACTGAAAAATTACTTTCTTCTCTATTAGATCTTATCTTGGGTAAATTAGCGTTGAATGAAACTATTTTTCAAGTGCTACTTACAAAGTGTTCGCATGCTGGAATTAGAATCTAAATTCACGGAACGGCCCAACCCTTCGTCCGAGACTCTCTCACTGGAATACGATTGAGTAATAAATCACATATCGTATCGATATATCAGTCGTAACGTGAAATCAATAGCTACCTTATAACGAACGAATAAACTTACCCCTGCTTGCATACGTTGTGCTCTGTAGCAGGGAAAACTTTTGTGCACATGATGCATGGCGGTGAATTCATTGAATGGATCTAGAAATCGTATTCTTACTTAGTATCATTTAGTTTGAGTGAACTTGAATCGATTATTTTCTATTGTAGCTTTCGTTAATTTTTAGATAATTATATGCTATTTATAATTTTAATAATAACACGCTTTTCTCGTTTCACCTTAAATGAGGATCCCCTGTACGTCATCGCTACTGTACCAAACACCATTTCGCTCAACAAACTCACATCATCTTCGGCTGTTCTCTCTCGCTGAAAATTTATAATTTTTATATTTTTCGTTAAAAAGTCATGTTCTTTTTTTTCCTTTTAATAATTATTCGCTACCTCAAAGCTCACGCGGTTAATCGAATCGGCATTCGTCGAGCCGGCGTTATTTTTTAGATTGAACGCGGTTGTTTTATTTTTACACCATCTTTTCTCCAAGGAAAGGGAATCAAATAGGAGCTTTCTTCCGCGCCATTCACATTCTCGGAACAATAAGATCCGAACTTGACCTGTTCCAACGTATAAACCGGAGTTCCTAAAAATATTAAAAACAAACTGTGCATACTGGAAATCAACAGTAATATAATTAAATGAATCGTGTTTCGTTAGAAAATTTAATAATTAAAACAGCATACATTAACAATTATAAAGGATAGTACATATTTATGTTAAATTATACGTAAATAATATTCTTGCTTTGCATACGCATTCACGTGAGAGGAATTGTATGAAACAATGTCTTAATCACAACTTGTGATCTTCTAATATTATACTGAAATAATATAGTTGTCTTCCCTTACATAACTTTTTAATCTATAGCAGGTATTAATTTTAAATGTTATAACAATTTCGTTATGTTTCCTACAAACAATATCCACGTTGTACACGCACAATTTAAATAAGATTTGTTACATATTTTAATTCGTTTAATAAATTACTTTCTTTTTTTATATTTACTTTAAGAACAACGGATTTCACTATGGAAATAATTTTTATTCGTTAAAATACAATATGAAAAATGAATTTTCTTATATTAAATGGTAAATCAGTTGAATTAAATAAATTTAGAACAAATATTGGTAAAGATATAAAGTAGAGGTCAATTTCACGGCTCGATGCATAGGCAAAGTCACGAGTGTGTTAGTAACGACGAGATTATGACTCCCGCCAACGGGCAGATAGAGAAGGGTATAACGTAAAATAGGTTAAGGTAGATCGAACACGTCGCTTCTACAAAGTCTGGCGGTTAAAACATTTTTCTCCTTGCTTACAATAAAACAAATCTTCTCTAATAAGAACTGTACGAAATAACCGTTAGGACAATGTGGAAGACACCGATGATCGATTTATCATATCAGCGATAAATATCGAAGTAATGAATAAGATCGATAAATATAGAATAACGACGGTATAAAGGAGTATGAGCAAGTAAGATGAATGAAGATAAATAACGGAGCTTGCTCGATAGAAAAAAAAAAAAAGAAAAAAAGAAAATAGTTCTTACCTATCATCTTCCTCTGTCCCGACATTCGACGTTACAATAGTTTGCACGTTGTTCTTCAAACTCTTCCTCGAAGGGAACAGCTTATCAAACAAAGGCATCATAAACGAACGACGACCGCTTATAGCTACCGCATTGCTCGCAAACTTTGTTTCGTTTTCGGTCTATCATGTCACAAGGAACTGCACCATACATGTTCGCGAGTATCAGTCAACTGTAAATAAAGTCACGTGCGGAGGAGTCATATGATTGCCCGAGATTATCGTGTCTCGTACGGCCGACATCAAATGGAATGTTCCCTGGTACTTTCCGTCCTTCGCCGTCGCGATTAGTTACACTTGCCGCGAGCCTGATGAACTGGTTCTACCGGAATATCGATGAAAATCACGAAAAAATGACAAGAATAGAAGAAACGAACAGATTTGCTAGATCAGGAAGGATTATTGACTGCGCACCATGATTTTGCTGCGCTAGAAGTTGTACATTGCACCGCAAGAGTGCAGTACTTGCAGTTTACAACGATTTCACTGCAGTCGCGTTTGAATTTTTTTTTCTTTGAAAATTGTTAGACGATAGAGATTACGTTTAAACGTTGTTTTTAATATCTAACACAGGTTTTCTGGAAGAGAAAATCACGTTCGAAAATATTAACGAAGAGATTCAAAGTAGAAACTATTTATAAAAGGGATATTAAAAGTTTCTTTTGCAATCGAGATTAAGCACTTTAATACTACATGAGATTTTGTAGAATCATTGCGTAGCGTGTCTACAGCATCACGTCTATCACGTCTATTACATTATGGTGATTAGAGTATACCATATACGTAAACAACATACTCATACTGCTTGCAACAAAATGAAATTTCACCTGTAAATATTCTAAAAGAATCGAATATTTATACTATCTATTGACTTGAAGTACTTGAACGAATAAAATGCAGCGACATTAGGTGTTACACATAAACTCTAATTCTTTTGCTTCGTCATCGTTACGATCACGGCGAACAGGAACATCGAAATCTACGTTTCTACGCATTTTATTGGCAAGTATAAGACGGTGGACGTATTCCGTATCTCTGATATCCTCGGACGTATCAAATGCACGTTTAACGTAGTTCTTATTCGACACCGGCAAATATACCGGAAATTCGATATTAAACGTTATGATTAGACTTCCTCTTTCCTTCGGATTTTCCGGTAACGGCAATCCTTCACAAGGTACGTGTTTCTTGTAATCTGGTCTATTTATATAGAGAAAGGAATATTACGTATTATTTTATGCAACCACACAGAGCAGTTGAAAAGGTAAAAGTATCAAATTTCTAGTGATAAATTTTTTTAAAAATTGTTGCATTTACATAACGAATACCTCTATTTTTGGTTTCTTAATGTTTTTAAATTATTCTTTTTAGAGTGAATTGAAATAAATATATAAATAACATGGTTGTGTGAACGAGAAGGAGGAAACAAGGAAGATGGACCAAAGATGGGAAGAGGTAGACACGTACGTGATGACAGACGTTAGTGGTATTCGAAGGGTTCTGTCGTCGAGGGTGTTGACGGTGACCACTGTTCCGGTCAGTGCCTCTCGCAGAAAGATATCGACCGTCATGTGCAAGTCAGAGCCCTCTCTTCGGAAGGTCTCGTGAGGCCGGTCCTCCGTGATGAAGATTACATCCGCTACGCTGACGTGCTTCGGACTGAGTAAAGACATTATGCGAACCACTACGATTAACCCATTTCTGTCCGCCACTGAGATGTATGATGCATTTTAAACGCATCCCTCGCGAAATTTGAATCGATACTGGCGAAAAGTCTGTTACGAGCTTCCGTGAAGGAGAAAATTAGCGATAATCACTTGAAATCCAATTCTACTTCCATACAAGTTTAAGTAATCTTTGTTACATTCCGCCGGACAGAAATGCTTTAACGTTAATCGTAACTTGTTAAAAAGACAAAGGGAGAATAAATAAAGTTGTGTCTTTTTCGAATAATTTTGCTTTAATAATTTACCAGGAATTTTCGTGGGTCCTTGATCACCTTCCTCAGGAAACATTATCCTCGTCCCTGCCGGAATGCCTGGTTTAATGGGTATCGTTAAAATCTTCTCTTTGGTTACTGTCCTAGACTTATCATCCCCCACCAATACTAATTTCTGTATCTTCATCTTCTTAATTCCTCCGAGAAAGACCTATCGGTATTTATCGGTAGAATTTTCACGAAACTACCTGATTGTGTTACAGCTACAGATTTGAAGGAACATTGTTATTATTACATAAGGAAGATTAGTTGGACAATTATCGCACTAATAAATGGACACGATGAAACTGTAAAAATAAACGAGTACAAGGTTTGCTGCAACGACCCTCACGTCGTCTACTGGGTGATTAACATCGAGAAAGGAAAACTATAAATAAGTAGAACGTCGATATGATACCTCCAATAGGGTTAGGTACAAGGTTTTTATCAGGGGCTCTTCCTTGCGCTTTATACCCCGCCCCTCGGGAAATTCGAGCAGGGACGAAGACTGCGTTAGTACGTAGAGTAGATCAGCATAAGGACTTTCGGTACCGAAGAACTCCCTGCAGAGATATTTCGTGATGAGAAAGGCACGGATAGATCGGATCGTAAATATTCAAAGTTTTCAAGTGGCTGTTAAGTTTCAGCTGTATTACGCTTTAAGTCGTTGGATTAAGCGGAGGATTAAAATAATTGATGAGCGCATCGAAGTATAAGAGAGGGAAGGCAGGAAGGTATAGGCAGATCGACAAATAAAATAGATCAATACCACGTGCTATATTAAACTTTATTCGTTTGCAAAATATTGAATATTTTATTCCTATTACAAACAAAAGGAAATGTTCGTTAATTAGCATGTTAAGATTGTAATGAAATTTCATTGGAAATACCTATACGTTCTCATCGGTTCACCATGATAAATATACGGCCGAATGAATCCTTCGGCTCCAGGTACGCCATTTTTAAGGCCTTCCTCCCCGAATTGATCGTATATAGTTCTTTTAAAGGGATCCGAAAGCACGTCGTACGCTTCAGCTACTAAGGAGAAAATAGCGCTCAAACATTCGTCTTGCGTTCGTCGAGGATTGTATCGTATCGCCAGACGTCGAAATCTGAAAGCAATATAACGCGATACATTTGAAAAGATGAAACATTTCTCTTATGCGAATAACAGAAAACTCTCTCTCCATTATTATAACGACGATATTCGTTGCAATTTGACCAATTGATTTTTTCACTAAAAATAGGCGTATTATGTCGAAGAAGAAGCGTTACAATAGCGGAAGCTGAGGAACGTTGTACAGATCGATGGAGTTCGATCGATGGAGCAGATACCAAAGAAGGGTGTACGATAAAGCGGGAGGAAGATCTTACGCAGCTTTGATCTCCAAATCGTCGCAGTCTTTTTTCAACGATAACACGCCATAATAATCCATACCGCGGTTGCTGCAGGGACAAGTATTGCCGCACGACATGTTGCTTCTCTCTCCTCTTTTTTATATTTTCACGGAAACTTTAAGAATTATTTACTAACGAGCAGAAAATGTTCAAAAAGGAATATACTTGTACAGCGACTATCTTCTTGTCGTTACGCATACACGGCTAATGTCATGGAAGAACAGTGATAGAAAAAAAAAGAAGAAAAAAAGGAAAAAAAGGAAGAAAATCGACGCATCGTTTCGCGACGATTTTTCAAGTGTTTTCAACAACCAACGCGCCCTTCTCGACAACCAAATACTATCTACGCTCGTGTGTTTAGCTTTTGTAATTATTAAACGTCTGATCTCCGACATTTATTGTTGAGGATAGAAATGACCATTTAATAGTTAATTATTCATTCACGCGGCTAAACGAGAACAAGAACTCTGATGGACGCTTCCGAATTGATTTTGAACCTCGTGCAAAAAGGTGAGAGACGAAATAAGGATTTCTTCGTGAATTGTACGCGATATTGTTGCCGTTCACTTCTTATTATTGATCAAATTTATTCAAATTTATCAATCTTATTTCACCGTTAGCAAATATTATTCTCATCTCAAAACATGTTCTCTTTTTTTTTGGTTTTAAATGAAAAAATATAAGTTACCATTAAAAGTATCGTTTACGAGATATCAGTTTCCGAAGTGTCATCTAAAACGATGTTAACGAAATAAAACGGTTTATGCTTTTCAGCTGCGATTAAAGCGGAAGTTCGCGAGAAAAGCTGTGAACTTCTTTCGAATCGCGAGGATGATGCATCGCCTGATCATCAACACGGAATCGTCCAAGATTCGTTCCCGTGTGTTTTAAACGAGAAATCGTGCGACGATTGCGGAAAGGAGAAAGCCGAGGAGGAGATGTTCAAGGTTTCCTTGACGACAACCGACGAAGATTTGGAAAACGATAAGGAGAACGTGTCAAGGAAAAAGATCCGCGTGGAGGCGAGGCAGATTTGCAGTAATCGTGAAAAAACCGAGGAGGAGAAAATCTTTGTGCTGCAGCAACTCGGTCGATCGCAGATACGTTCAGATGGATTCCCGGCATTTCTATGCATCGACGGCAGGATTGCTGATTCAAATGGAGTTAAACGAAAAATCCCACGGCCAGCGAACGCTTTCATGCTTTTCGCCAACGAATGGCGTAAGAAGCTTGCCGCTGAGAATCCTCGAGAGTCCAACAAGGACATCAGTGTTAGGCTAGTTTCTGCATCTAATTTTTTATCAAGAGGCTCTGACATATTTGGAAAAGAATTTTTTCGAAATTTGAAAAATCGAAAAAGTAACGAATTCTCACGGAGAAGAACGTTTGACTTTCAGAAAATTTCTTTAGAAAAAAATTCATTTCTCGATCGTTCCTCACCTTAGATCGGTTAATCTTTATTCCTCATTTTTTAGAAAAATTTATTTTCCATATTTTCAATAGCCAGAAATTAAAACATTCTTTATCCTACAGATTGGGCATACTTTGGAAGAATATGGCGAAAGACCTGAAGGAAAAATACTTCGCCCTGGCTAGGGAAGTGGACGCGGAGCACAAGAGGAAGTATCCCGGTACGCTTTATACGCCTATAATCTCTCTTCAAACCGATATGACCTCGTTTTCGCGTTTGTGGCGGCTCGTCGAAGTTTACCGATACGACTGAAACGTCCGTGCCGCGCGTTCGGTAGGTACTTACACGATAGTTTGTTGTATCCTTTCAAACAGATAGCAGGGAGGTAGAGAGTGAGAGAGAGAGAGAGAGAGAGAGAGAGAGAAAAGGGTTGAAATCTTCACGGATATATATTCTACAAAGTGAATTACACGGATCACTCCAATTACGAGTAACTTTTGTTCCGCTCACGCAGCAGTGAGAAACATTGAATGGATTCACGCGCCCCATTCAGGATGAAATCTCAATGAATTTATCCTTTATACGTTATTCTTAACGCTCTACACAACAGCCGTCGTGTTTTTTGCACAGAGTAACAACCACAGAGAGATACAAACGGGAAAACATGTTAACGATGAAGCGCCTTTGGATGGCGGAAGGTGATTGCCCAATTATTCCAAAGGAGCGTATAATTGAAGCAGCAGTTAAAGCGTTCGGGAAGCATTAAAGGAGTAGTGCATGGATTTTGCAGCGGGTCCGCGTGCTACGTAGCCCGCGGAGGACATTTAGTCGCGTGAATGCTCAGTAACGCGGGATATGTGAGGAATAATCGCGCTTGTCGGTGGGTGTAGGTAGTAGGTAGGTAGGTAGAGCGCGGTCGTGTATCGGGCAGGTTCCTAGAGTCGCGTCGCAATCAATACCTCCGGTCTCTACTGTTCCCTCCCGCGCGTTCCCCGTCACTCACCCGAGAATATTTCTCCGCTTGCCACCCTGTGCCCTGTACCTCGACCCGCAAAACTCGTATCGTTCTACCATCTCCCACCCACAAATCGACGAGCTATAATCGCATTTTAGCCCCCCCCCCCTGCGATCGTTCGTTCTCTTCTCACAGCTAATCGCGGAATTCAGGACGAAAAAGGTGGAATAGGCGCGCATATTCACCGTGGGGACTTGACGATTGCCTGGAAGGGTGGAAATTAAGCGAACTATGCCTTCTTTTATTTTCTTTCTTTCTTTTCTCTTCGTCCTGTTATCAAAGAGATTTCATTGTGAATTTGTCGAGAGGTATCCGTTTCGAGCTTTCGTCTCGGTCTTATTTGCGAGTTTTTCAAAAAATCTCACATTTGTCAACGTTGCGAATGTGATTGACAAGACTTCGTCGTAATTGATTGCCCTTTTGATTATGCCGTTTCCACGATCCGATGCGCCGGCATCGTTTCGGTTACATGAATTGAGCGATATTAGATTGGTCTCGTACGCAGAGGGGATACCAGCACACGTGTGCTCGTCTATTGTAACTGTTTTAATTAATAGCGAATAATCCACGAATACCGTAAATGAACCGATACAGTGAGCGCAAATAGTAATTGCATATTAGACGGATCGATCGTTTCGACCAATACATGTTTCACTCTTAACATAATCACATTCCCTTTCCCCGTTATCATATTTCCGCTGGATGAAATTAACGTTCGGTAATCAATTAAACGAGAATATCCCGTGATAAGCGAAAACTTCAGGATCGTGATGTGACCGCTTCAAGTGGCGGAATTTTATGCCGTAGATACAGACAAGGTGTGTGAAGTTTTTCCCTTAAAATTCTCCTTGAAATTGTCATCAAATTGTCGTCAGTTCCTAAAGAGAGCATCAATTCTTCAGGAATAAATTTTTCTCGTTAAAGATCACAAGTGCAGCATTCGTTCGAGGGATCTCTATTTGTTCTAAAATTTCAATAAAAAAATATCGCTGTGAACCAGGGACAAGCCTTGTATCATATCAAAATGGCTGTCAGGTGAACGACAAACTTATAATTTCGAAAATTCGAAAGAAACCAAAGTTGCCAAGAACGTCCAAGAGCAACCTGTCCAAATTTCAACTAACCCAATCTCTCTATACAAAACTCTGCTTAAAAACATCAAACCAAACATTCTCCTTGTAAATTCATCGCAAAAAAAAAGAAAAAGAATCATCAAATTGATCCCTCTAATCGTAGGCAATAACCCCCTCCTCGTTCGATGGGTGCAGCCTGTGCACAGACATTGTCTGAGTAGGATCAGGCGTTCCTGTTAAACGGCCCGGCAACGACAATCGTCCAGCCACGGCTGAAACTCTGCGAAGGGGTGCAAAGATCCGGGCTAAATTCCCCACTAAACGGTGGCCGCGCAATCGACAACGACGGGTTGGCGCGGCGCGAGCATGCCGAGTGGTCAATTAAGATCACCGGAAAGTGTCGATATGCTCTGCGCGAGCGAACGTCCGAGAACGCGCGGACTGGACTCGCGTGCATCTGCGCGACTGCATCGCACGCGTGACGGAGGAAAAGAGGGGTGACGCACGGTCGCGCCAAGGGAAGCCGTCAAAATGTCGAGGCTCGTGCATCCACCGAGCATGTCGACCCGAAGACATGCGGGGGAGGAGTTCTCTCCTCCTCCACCACCTCCATCCTCTGTCTCTCTTTCTCCCTCTCGCGCCTAGCTTCGTCACTCTCTTTCGCTCTCTTTCTCTGTAACGATCGCCGGTCATCGATCCGCTATCGCATCAACGCCGATGCTCGGTTGCTCGGGAAAACGAGCCGCGACGATACTACGCCTCCCTCGTCTGCGATTCACCTCGAAAAGCGCGCTCCGTTTGTACCCAATGCTCTTCGCCGAGCGGCAGGAATTTTCGATTTAACGATTAGGGAGGAATTGGAGAACTGTGACGTTAAGGGAGGGTGTAACGATTCACTTTTTCGTAGTTTTCCTTTCACCCTTCTTAAACGTTTCCCCCTCTTTCAGACTGGTTATACCTTCTTTCCTCGATGTAGTTTCGTTAAAACTTGTTCGTTATGTTTATACAGTTGCATCCGAATCGTCGTAGTTTTGCAGCGAGCGAAGCCTCGAAAG